AGAAAAAAGCTGGAAAGATTTTTACTACTGACTTCACCCCAGTCAGAATCAAGTGACAGCAAAAATCTTAAGATGACTTGGTGAAAACCTAAATTGGTTAAATTCTGATTGATGTTCAATTTTTCCAATATATTTGCAAAGGTTTTTAAGATTGTTCCAAGTGCTCCTTTGATTAGTGGCACAACCATCTTTTTCTAATAGTGAAATACCTAAAGGTGACGGAAGAAAATTTTTAAAATTGCTTATTAAGTAATAACTTACAAATATAAAAGAAAATTATTTATTTTGGAATGTACCTTTTAGAAATAAATACCAGTTGGTGTTCTTCAATTCAAACTGATACCAATGTTGATTACTTGCTTTAGCCTTCTTTAAAATGCCATTTCTTATTAATTCTTGACTAAAAGTTGAAGTGATGGTACATGTTTATTTCGAAATTGTGGAAAGTCTATCAGGATTTTATCAGCATTTGATGGGGAATCAGATAGAAAAACAAAACAAACAAAAAATCAATCCAGAAAAACTAATGAATAATTTGTTGTCTCAGGATAAGGAATTGTCATTCCATCATTGTTTTCTTTATGAATGAGTAAAACTGTGATGAAGGAAAGAGTAAGTAAAGTAAAGAGGGAAGGAATAACGAATAAAATAAGACAGAAAGATGGATATAAAGCAAAGGGAGTAAATAATGAGTGGTCAGTTCAAATGAATTCATGAAGAAAGAGTAAAGAGAAAAAAAAGAAAAGATTAAATAAAAACTCATCATTTTACTGTTAAAATTGCTAAGTAAGTTCTATGCTAATAGTTTCTTCTCTTGCACTTCTTGCTTGTGGAACTCTCTTCTGGTTTCTTGCTTTCCTATCAATTACAATCTTGAAAAATTTAAATGTCATATCACTCATTATTTTCTGTTTCACTGAATTCCTGTCTTCTAATGTCCTCTCTCCTCAACATTTTCTTAGTTTCTTTCATTCTCAGTAACCCCTTGCGTCTTAGTGGCCTTATTGCCTTGCTTGGATGAAATAATAAAAAACAAAAAAAGAGGAAAAAAGAAGGTAAATGTAGGAAAAGTACAAAGGAATTAAGTTAAAACTATTTTTCTTAGTGACAATGTACCATCACAAAGTTCTCAAATTGTATGTTTTGATTGTACCATTTGATTGTTCATCAGAAGTACACATGGAGCTAATACTCATCAGTACCAAGTTTATGAAATAAGTCTGCCAAAAATTTGCCTGCTATCTACTCATTCAGTTATTATGTAATATTTTGTAATGTTGTCTTTGAAGAGTTCTGAAATCTTTACAATGATTGACAAGTTTGATCAAACTGCTTGCATCAAATTTTTCACAAAGCACAGCAAATCTGCTATTTGAAATGTTTCAAGCTTTTGGTGAACATTCTTTAGGTCAAGCACAGGTTTTTGAGTGGCTGTTGTGTTTCAAAGCCGGTCAAGTGTCAGTTAAAGATTATGAACATTTATGGTGACCAGTCATTATCAAAATGTCAGAAATCTGGAATTTATCAACTATAATCCATCAGGAATGTTGCCAAACTACTATTAGAAATGGCCAAATTTAAATAACATATTAAATATATTTTTTATAATATATATTGCAAATATTGAGAAATATATTTATTATTTATAATATATGAAATATCTACTGAAATAATGGCGTGAACTTTTTGGTTTAGTTCAAGAATTTTCTGATGCCACCTCATATTCATTGTTCGAAATGCATTCTTTTGATAAACTGGATCTTGTTTTTGTTTATTGTACATTTCTTTTTTAATGTTGTTTAAACTTGTATAATTTTCTCTTCACCACTTTTAAGGGATTGTTAGAGGTTTGGCATCAGCAAACAAGAATCAACTTAATCAATCTTTACTTTTTAATTAACTAATTTAAGTACTTTTACTAGAGTTCAGTCAGAAAGATTTATTGTGAACCCAGTCTACTTTTTATTTAACTAAATCTAAATGGTGTGTACCGAGTCACAGACATAAATGTGTTTATGCATATATATTTTTCTTTCATCCCTTTACTAATATATATATATATATATATATGTGTGTGTTGGCATTAATATACATTTTTTCTCACCAGTAGCACAACTATAATTGCTTTGTGCAGGAAACTCACAGTTGTGCTATCAGTGAGGGCAAAAAATTTATATATGTATATATATATATATATATATATATATATATATATGAAAGAGAGACACACACACACAAAAAGAGGCACGAACTTCTATGAAGCCTTGAGGCGTGTGTGTTATTTTTATGTTTAAGAGTGTATCAATAAGTCCACACACATGTTGTTATTAGTTGAAATTTGAACTGTAAATTTGTCTTGTATAACATTCAATATATGATTAATATTTACCATTGAATTATGTTGAAAAATAAATATTTTTTTTGTATAAAATAAATATCTTTTTCATCCTTAGACTTACTTTTATTTTTTACTAAATGTTCACTCAATACAAAGCCCAAGAATCACCCAAGGTAGAAAGTCATTGAGTAATGTTGCTGTATGGATGTAAGAGGAAGAAATATGTAGTATAAATAATGGCTTGTAGTGAACAGGAAAGTACCCTCTCGGGAGTTTATTCCACAAAGTAGCTGTTCTCAGACAAACAGTTTGAGTGAAACTTCCTCCTTATCATTGGAATGCAAAGGGAATGGGGATGATTTGACCTTGTGTACATATCATGTCCTAGCTGTAAAGGTCTGAACTGGTGAAACTAAGAAATGTAGCTAGTCAGAACATTCACCATAGAAATAGCAACAGAGTAATGATAGGCTTCTACCATCTCATCTGTGGGAAAGGGGCAGTAGGTTTGAAAATAATTCATCACACACAAGGCTGTATAAATGCTTTTGAACTCTATCAAGGTTGGAAAGTGAGGATTGGGCAGCTTCAGACCATATATGACAGCAATGCTCAATTTTTGGACTAGTTTGAGTTTTGTAAAGATAGACGAACATGGAGTTAAATACTTTTATGTTCTACTGCCTGTGCTTACTTAGTACACTGAGGACTATTTTCCAGTCTTCTTGATTGGAATCACTTTATACCATCATAGAATCTATCACTCAGGCTCTTTACATACAAGCTTATGTAATGAGGAGGAAGTTATTAAAGATATATATTAATTTTGTACAAGCATTTATATTTCTACGTGTATGACAGTACATATGTATATGTGTAGGCTTTTGTGTATGTACATACAGTTATGTGCACATATGTACGCATGTGCATCTATGTATGTATGTGCTTTTTCCTCTTAGTTTTTCCTTTTTTTTATTAAAATAATTTTTTAACAATAGATTTCCAGTGTTTATCAATAATTTTGTTCCATCATATGATATTTTAGTTTTATTTTAATTTATTTTTATAATATATTCCCATTTTTTTCTTTCTTTCCCTTTCTCATTACAACATATCCCAACCATTGTTTCTTGACTTTCAACACTTGACCACGTGATCTGTCAATTTTGCTACAACTTGCTACACTGCAAGTCCAGGCTTTTCCTCCTCACCAACCTATAACACACTTAACATTATCTGGTAGAAATATTAACCACCTTACCCTGATAATATCAAAAGTGAGCACCCCACCCCCCACCAACAAAGCTTGTCAACTTATCATCACTGTTTATAATCCCCCCCAACAAACACTAGTAACACTAAATCAGCCTAGTACTGATCAAAATTTAAGTTAATTTTCATAAAAAGTTTTGCCCATTGAGTGATTAAACAGAAATCAGGTTTTGCTTATAATACAATTTCCACTGGAAAATACCTTACCTAGAAAAACATCCCTTGGTGAGTAATTTCAATTTCTCTGTTTGTTCCTTAGGCTGTTGATAAAGGACACATGTGTGTCCAAAAATTTCAAAGTTAAAACCTTTCTCTCTATGCTTCGTTTCTGCCAAATGGTTAATATTTAATAAATATTTATCATACTGAATATATTTGTATCTTTTCGTTTGTCATTTATTTTATTAAGCAACCTACCTATTATATATCAGTAAGGCCACAAAAATTAAATGAAATGTATATCAATAGGATGGAAAGCATTTAACAAAAATAATGAAAAGTACCCTGCTTATATGCTTAAAGTGTATAATGAATGTATTATTCCTGCTGTGGTATGCAACTGCAAAAATATTGAAATTGACAGTTTATCATTTTATTCAGTAACCCTCTACCTTGAATTGCTCTTGGGCGTTAGTATTTGGGGAACAATAATATTAAAACAAATTGCTATAAAAGAAACATCAAAAAAGCAAACATTAGGAAGAATCTCAAGAGAGAGAAAGAGGTCAACATGGATTAGAGAACAAATATAGAACTGATTTAACAATGAAAATGAAAGGTAGACAGATGGACACATAAGAAGGAAAGATAACAGACAGAGCAAAAGGTTGCTTGATTATAATGGATATCAAATACAGTATTAAAAGACCACACAGAAAATAGAGATAAGAAAGTGAGATTTGCTGGTAAGATATGAGAGAATAGTACAATCATGGTTGTCATAGAAGGATTTAGAGAAGACCTATGTCCTGCAGAAGAATATCAACAGCTCATAATAATGATACATATCTAAAGATATACACACATACAATGTTTCCCTTCTTTATTCTTGTATGTAGTTATATATTTTAAACACATATTTTAAATAAATAAAATCACTTCCTACTGTTGGCCTCATGTATTTTTTTTTTTTTTTTTTAGTAAATTTTAAACAAACTGAACAACCATTTAACTCCTGATGATCAAAGAACCTATCAAAAGTGTTCAGCCTTTTGAACTGTTATGCCATCTGAATAACAAATTTCAAACCTACTGAAAAGAGAATTTAGTGTCTAAATGTGCAAAATCATTTTCTTGCAATTAACAAAATATTTTCTTTTTGGAATATGAGGCCAGGCAAAGATAAATACTTTGAAATAACTGCTTAATTTCTTATTTGTTTTCTTTACAGACATTCCAAAGTCAATATGGCTGCTATTGAAGAACTCCATCTATCTCATCACCTGCCTGGGTATCTGCTGTGAGTTCTCTATTGTTAGCGGCTTTGTTACCTTCCTGCCAAAATATTTTGAAACTCAGTTTGGAAGCTCAACCTCAGTAGCTAATCTTTTTACTGGTAAGTGAGACATTTTTTGGAGAAAAGTGAAATACTGACTATGAAAGAGTGATGCTAAATCTGTGAAATCATGCATGCATTAATTTCAACTCTTCTTATTAATAACTGCATTGTTTCTTTGCAGATAAATTGATGTCTGACTGTTTGGTATTGTAGTATTATCAAGTACCTTCAGAAAAAGTGTTTAGCCTCCAATGGTTGCTGCATTAGGAGATGGTCTAGCTTTATCAACAGTACAAAAATAGACACCTGAATTTAAGAGGGGAAGGGAGAGTTCTGAATATGACCCAAGGTCTGGACATTGTGCAACATTGATTGTGTTCACCAAATAACCAATGGTATTAGCATATACTGTGAGAAAGTTAAGAATATCTTGACATGATGAAGGTTTTTGTTCAGGAGTTTCCATGTCTTCTGACATCTGATTAAAAATGTGCCAGGCTGATCACATGATGGGAAAATCTGATATTGTTTAAGGCAGATTCAGCTGATTTCTTAGAATGTTTCCTAACCCAGGATAAGTTCATCAATTTGAGCCAGAGACAATGACACAATACATGCAGTGGAAACACGCCTCCTCACCTGCTCCAAAGAAGGTCAAAAGGCATTGTGTTTGTTGACTATTTTCAAAAGGGCCACACCATCAATGGAGAGTACCATATCAACTTGCTGAGGTAGTTATGAAAGGCTATCAAGACAACATACCCAGGAAAACTAATGAAAGTGGTCTTGTTTCATCAGAACAATGCTCTAGAATACAAGTCATTGGTTTCAATAGTTGCTGTGCATAACTGTGGGTTTGAACTGGTTGATCACTCTCCCTATTCTCCTGATTTGGCCCCATCTATCATCTGTTCCCCAACATGAAAAACATCACATGGCTGGGAACAGTGATGGTTATGTCATATCTGCTGTTGATTACTTTTTGACCAGCAAAATGAAAGATGTTTCACAAAAAGGATCCAATTACTATAACACTGATGGAAGAAATGTGTGGACTGCTAGGGGAACTATTTTAAAAAAACCTTATTTAGTATTTTAACTTAATTGTAGGTTTGGTTTTAACAATTTTTGCTCCAATGATCACATATAATAATGAACACTGTGACTGTTTTTGTTTCTCTGTCTATAAATTCTAATGAAAAAGGCACATGAAATTAATAAGTCAATCTTGCTCCAATTTAAATATACAAACCTGTAGACAAGCAAGAAAATGATATATCCATTATGCTAGCATTCTTCTGCTTGAACAACATGGTGCAATTCATTTCCAAATACTAATTTAGTCAGTGAGCACAAATGCTACCATGATCCTTGGGAGAGAGCCAGGGAGTGGTACATTGATCTTAGTTAAGCAGTGGACAAAGATATTCTGATCTTCAGTGGCAGTGCTAAGGCTTGTGTAAATAATCCCCTCATTTTTGACAGGTACTATGCTAGTTAAAATGTATACAAACCAAAAACTAACTATATCTTTTTCTCAGTAAGAATCAACCAGCAAACCAAGCGGCTCCCAGTAATACTCTATGCATTGTACTAAGAAAAAGATGCATCACACAATAAAATAAACAGCAATGTACTAACAGCTTTAAGGATTGAAATCGAAGAGAAATTGGCTTCGATTCAGTGTTAATGGCTCAAAATATAATGAGAAATTAGCACTTATCAATAAAACTGTTCATTTCAGTGTGTTATAAATACATAATTGACTTCCCCACTATGAATATTTCATGACAACAATCCACTTGAGTATGCCTGACATCAGTTATTTCCCTTTATGATTAATATTTCATCTTTCACTTGTGTATGAAGGCAGGTGCAGTTTGTGATTGCTTTTCAGCTGTACAAATCCTTTTGCAAATATTTTTATCTTTTTGTTGTAAATTAAGAAAAATAAGAAACAAAAGAAATAGCCAAGTGGAATGTTTTCTGGTATAACAAATCAAGTTTTCTTTTGTTAAAAGAATTATAAACAAGAAAACAAGATAATTTTTTTTTCCCTTAAAATTTAAATCTTTTCAATAATTTTTAAAACAGAAAAATTAAATAGCTTTTAAAAGTATTACAGTAAAATAGATTTTCTTTCATAAAAATACCTGCTCAAGAAAAATAAACAATTCTGATTACTAGAATCTGTATTGAATGTTGGAAATTTTAATCATTTCCTTGTTCAACTCTGTTCTTATTTACTTTTGCTTTTGTCAATACTCCATATTTATTCATGGTCTTTGATAGAGATTTGCAGCGACATTTATATTATAAAATTTGAGGCAAAACCTAAATGGACATAGCATTTGAAAAGAAGAAATAACTGAGAATATATATTTTTATCTCAAAGGGTCTCTAATGAAATGCTGAATATCTTTTCTGGAAGAAAGTTACACAAATATTTCCTTGTAAAGAAACACCTTTTTCTTTTCTTTCTTTATTATTTTTCTTTTTTCTTTTTTTACAGAAATACAGAATAAAAAGAAATCAAATTATTAAAAATGAAAAAAAAAAAAATTCCTTATGCTTAATAATAAAATTTGTGCAGGTTTACCTCAGCTGAAAAAAATACCCAGAAGGCCGTTGTCTTTTAAAGGTTTTGGACATGAAAGAAAGCAAAAAAAGAGAAAGCAGGCAAGAGAGAAGAAATATTGGGGAAAATACACAAAATTAAAATGGTCAGGTATTCTACGTAGATGAAGAAAATGCTAGAGGAAAAATTCTTTGGCACAATAACGTTAGTAGCAGTGGAAGTAGACATTCATTGTCACCTTGCCAAGAGTTGAAAATGATTGACTATTCAATGGGTTGTTAGTTCATGTAATGCCTTTCTATTCATCAGACTTGATTTCCTCCTACATCTTGTATATATAGCATACATGAACAATGAAAAGAAAGTTCTAAAAAGAGATTGTTTCATTGGCTGAGATTTACAAGGGTCATTCTGCCTAATCATTGTCTGTATATGAAGAAATTCAGAACTCATGTTAGCTTTAGGGGCTGAATATTAGTATAAGCATTAGTTGCTTATATATATATATATATATATATATATATATACATACAATCTCACACCTCTAGTATGACTGAGTTTCATGCCCAATGTGATCTTCGAGTGTAGAATTCAAATTACTGTTTTACAGTTTGAATCAAAATATATCTGGCTATCAAAATGCTGATGATATGATACTTTACAGATTTTAAGCCTTATAAACCTTTTTTGAACCTTATAAATAGTAAAATTAACAAAAATAATTTGGAGAAAAGAAAAGAGAAGAAAAAAGTATGAAAATAGAATTTAAAATATGATAAAATGAAAAAATAAAAAATGGGGGATAAAAGATATAATGGTTAAAATGGGGGTAATTACGTAAGAAATAACAGTAAAAAAAATAGAAAAGAATTAAAGGTTTTGAGAGCTAACCTGGTGTAGTCTATTTAAGGAGGTATTTCTTTTGTGTCTGCAAGAAGATATCAATCCACTCCTCTGATTCAATAAATTAGGGCTGTTTAAGTTTTTCAGAATAACTCATTTTTCAGTTGAACAAGGACAACAATTATTGCCTATCCCATTTACAGATTTGGTCCTTTGAAACAATTTCCTATTTAATAGTGAAAGTCCACTATCTTTCAATTGCCAGAAACATTTAGATAGAGCAGTACTATGTTTATATTTTATGTTTTTAAAGTCATTTTGTGATAGTAAAAACACAATTTCCAAGGTTTTTATTTAGAATTTAACATCATTACCAGACCATTTAGTGGGCATATCATATTTCTTTGGCAGTTGCATTTACTTTAGATGAGATTAGAGATGTTAATGTGATTATATTTGGGAAAATGTTTGTTTAATATAAAATTGTTATGAGATGGCTGTGTCTGTATTATTAAGGCATGAATAGCTAATTTTAACATTGTTCAGGTTAAAAATCTGCCAATGTTAGTTTTAACATTGTGACTTGAGAGGAGGATTGAACCATATGATGTTGTGTTTGCAGTGTTTACGTTTCTTATTCCTTTCTTTGTTTAAGTCCAAGTATTCTAAACTTATTTTATGGTGGTTTAGTTCTAAGGCCTGTGTGTGTGTTTGTTTTAGCCTTATCAAATATGTTCTTATTGCATTGCTAGAGTTGGTAGAAAGTCTAAATTGTACAGATTTAATAAATTATCTAGAATTGTGTTGGGATGATTGGACACTTTGCTAACATTTAATATTGCAAAAATCTTTGGTGTATAGTTTATAACAACCATTATTCAAGTCTAAGGTTACATCTAGGAAGTTAATCACTTTTGCATTGGTAATAGTGGTGATGCTTAAATTATGATCTTTAAAAAATTTAATTCTTTTCTCAACCAATCAGTCTTCTGTGGGTTAACTTTACAGAGTAAAATAACACCATCATCTCTATAAAGTCCAATGTAATCGGTATCAAAAAGAAATCTAAGTCGCCATAATAATAAAATTCACACCAATTCCCATGTCTCTGCTGAATCAAACGTGCCCATGATTATACAAAATTCTCGGTTAGATTTCTTGATCCATAAATATCCATTGTTGAAAAGGATGGATTTTTGTACCTGTTTGACAATATTAACTTTGCAATCAATGATGAGGCAGTAGGTTTTTGCTAGCTTGATGACCAGCATTAGCAGATTTTCAGCTATGTTCAGGGAAAATTTACAAATGTCGAATTGGATGAATGTGCATTCAGTTTTATTTTTTATAATGGTAAACCATTCAATGGCATCAGCTGTTTTATGCCATTGATCAATTTCTAGAGTGTTTCTGGTTTATAGGCATACACTTTCAAGGATGAATTTATTGATCTTACCGATGTGATTTTTGGTCGTAATAGTTGGAATTGTGGTTCATTCAGGAAATTGTCTTTATGATCTTTAATAGTAATGAATGACCGTTGTTTTTTTGAGTTTGGTGATCCTGTCTGATCAATATTTAGATCGGAGGCTATTTTCTTTGCTTTGCTGTTAATAATGTTTTCCCAGTTGTTGGG